AGGAAGGAAGGAAGGAAGGAAGGAAGGAAGGAAGGAAGGAAGGAAGGAAGGAAGGAAGGAAGGAAGGAAGGAAGGATAAAAGAATTAAAGTAGCAAAAAGAAAGGAAATAAAAAGGAAGACAACAAGAAAAATGAAAAAAGGAAGCAAAGAAAATAAACTTTTCCCTCTTTCTTCTTCTCCTTTTAAGTGAAACAAAATATAACAGAGAAGAAAATACCAAAAAAATGGGGGAAAAACACCAATCTTGTTAAAAAATAAGACATTTTTGTCATGAACTCCATTCTTTGCTAAATTAAATTTGTCATATCCTGATGCAAACATGAGAATAAAGAAAAAAGAAATCTGTAAACATTTGTTTTGATTTTATGTCTGGTTTTATGAAAGGTTTATTCTCTTTTTCAGTTTAAAAAAAAAGTACAACATTTACGGCATTACTTAAAGATCAACTTTGTATTTTTCAGATCACTCACAATGAGCTGACAAACTACTTTAAGGTTTTCTAAATTAGACTCTTTTTCAGTAAGTCTAACTGCTTGAATAATGTTTACAGTCACCTTTTTCAGACAAAAAAAAAGGACTTGTTACTGAGTGAATGAGGAAATAAAGGTTTACAAATCAACCAGGGGGAAAATGAGGAAAGAGAGAGAAAAACAGAATAAGAGGCCAGAGAAGAATTCCAGACTTTGGAAGAATGTGTGGGAAAAGTGAAAAAGCAAATCTCTTAATGGAGGAGCAGCTGCAGAATCTGGAGACCAGTCTGCTAAAAGGTGCTGCTTCTTTTCTTTTTTCCTTCTCTTCAGCCTCCCTTTTTTATTATACTGTTTTTCTTGTTTTTCTTTATGCCAGCAGTTTTTTTGTTTTGGTAGGGGGAAGGGCAAAAGCTAAAAAGCCTAAAAGTACGACCTCAATTACTCCTTTTCATTTTTAGCCAACTGGAAAGTGAAAAAGACGTCATCAGAATCTGAAGGGTAATCCTCCAGCCATTGTGAGGCCAGGTACACCAATCTGTGAGAGTGAACTCGGATCAAATGGAGGAGCTGAAGCGTGAAGATGTTGCTGTTCTTCTCATGTCAGTCTCTCAATAAACACATTTAGATTAATGGTTGAAAATTACACACCAATGCAGGTCTGGTTTAGATAACACATTTCTGTTGGACGTTTTATGTATTGTACTTTTGTGGACAAACAACAAAAAGGAGAAGTTTCTGCATCATCACTGTTTTCTGTCTGTTTGAAGACGATGCTGCCAGGTAAGAAGTGATGAAGGGTCATTTAAACTGAATCTGTAAGACTTTAGACATTTGATCTAACAGGACCACTTTTAACCAAGTTAGTTTTTAATGTGCTTATTTTTCTAAGGGCTTCCCAAATGGCAGACAGGGATCCAAATCCGAAACAGAGTTTTTGTTTTCGTTTTAACTACGCGTTTTCTTGTACTTGTGCATGTTTTCCTGTWTTTACAGTCATTCATTTTAGGAAAATTTTTAAGAGCAGCAACTTTTCTAGGATTTTTGGTCATTCGTGGTTTCCCTCTCCTTCAGAGTCAGGGAGGACTTCAGCCTGCAGGTCGCTGTGGAACTGCAGAAACAGCTGCTCAAACTCTGATTCAGGCCAAACTGAGGTTTTCAAATGTAATCTGCAGAACACAATCAGACAGGCAGACAGTGTTCTTGCGTATATAAAGATTTCTCTTTTTTTGGTCTGGCCACACGCTGCAAGCTGAAAGGACTCGTGCTCAGATGTTGCTTCCTTGGAAACAAAGCCACCAGAGGCAACAGCTCCATCTGGAGTCTCTGCAGAAAACAAACAGCCCCGATGACAGCTGAAGGCGCAGGAGCAACAAAAGTCAAATCTGAAGAACTACTCAGAAGTTCAGACTTTATTTATGGTGTGTTTTTGATTTTTCAATAGGAAAAAAGTAAACAGCTGTTGGGTCTGAGACAACTGGTGAAACAGTGATCACATTGTGAAACGATCAGCACTGCCTCCTGAACAGAATCCTCCTTTACTTTCATCACATTTTTTATCTGAAGGTGTTAAAACTCATATTTCATCTACAGCGGGTTTAGAGGGGGGGCCTCAAGGCTGAGGAATGTGGATATTTATTTGAATATATCTGCTAGCATTTAGYTCAACTGATATTAGAGTGTTTATCTGGAAAGGCTGGATTCAAAAGAGATGAAATCAGAAATTTTATGTAAATATACTAAATTGAAGTCATTTGATTTTTTTTTTGAACAGGTTCCCTAAAACTTTGTTGACTCCGYAGTGCCAGAGAAAAATTTCAAAACAAATTCCAAAGTTAAAGAGTGGGTCGTCGTGCAGCAG